TTGGGCTCTCCCCGCTCAGCCCACGGTGCGACGCGGCCCCGACGAGGACACGGCGACCCAGTCGTTTCCATCCCTCCCCCCACGTGAGGAGCTGAGCCCCTCCCGGCACGTGGGGCTGCCCCCCATGCCTGGACTCTCACCCTTCTGCCGGGCCCGGTTGAAGACTTTGATGTCCTTGAGCTGCACCCCGATGCCAGTGCGCAGGGACACCGACTCGGTGGCGTTGTCCTTGTTGCCTCTTTTGATGGAGCCGTTGGCGTGAGTCCTGAGGAAAGGCGGAGTCACCAAGTGACCAGCGTGGGACCCGTCCCCCCCTTTTCACTGCACCTGCCAGCTCCCCCCACCCTCCACACAGACCCCCCCAGGCCCCCTGGCATCGCACCTATCGCTCCAGTAAATGTACTCCTCGAAGACCGACACGGAGAACATGTCCATGTTGTTGCTGGACAGGACAACCTCCCGGTTCTCCCCCGTCTCCAGGTCGATCCGTTCGATCTTGTCTGTCCGGGCATCGCACCAGTACAGCTTTCCATCCTGTGGGGATGAGAGAGCATCCCAGTTGGCACCACGGCACCCTCTGCACCTCCAGTGGGACATCCCACGATTCAGGAGACCCCCCCGGACAACCCTCCTGAGACTCTGGAGCCCCCCCCACCATCAGGACACAGCTGCAGGGACCCTCGGGGCCAGCTCCATCCTCCCAGGTGCCGACTGTACCTCGTAGTCCACGGAAATCCCGTTGGGCCAACTGATGCTGATGTTCACCAGCACCATCCGCTCGGTGCCGTCCAGGCGCGAGCGCTCGATGCGGGGGTACTGCCCCCACTCCGTCCAGAACAGGTACCTGAGGGGACAGCAGGGACATCACCACAGGGATGGCACCAGGAGCAGCATCCTGGGGCCCTTTGGAACAAACACCCCTCCCCACCCCCCCATCGGGATGTCAGTCTGGACCCTCTGGGCTCGCAGACCCTGCACCTCCATCACTCCCCGGATCCAAACACCCCTCCTCTCCCCGGGACTCTCTCCAAAGCTGGAGCCAGGCTGGGGAGGCTCCACTTGGATTTTCTGATGTGTTGGCACCCACCAAGTCCCAGGGGGCCCCCAAGGAGCTCACCCCTTCTCTGGATGGACGGTGATGGCCCGTGGCTTGTCCAGCCCCTGCG